CGCCCCGGCCCCCCCCCGCCTCTGATGGCGGCGCCCCTGCCCAGGCGGGCCTCCCTGCACGGCTCCTGCAGGGCAAGGCAGCTTGCTCGGGCCCCGCCTGCTGGGCATGTGGGTGGGAAAGTGCCGTGGGCTCCACCTGGCCAGCCCGACCTCCACGCAGACCCACCTGTGCTGCACTGACCGCCCCGCGGCTTCCCCAGGGAGCGCCTGGTCCACGAATTGGACGCTACCGGAGAGTGCTTAGTGGACCTCGGCTCAGACCAGACATCCTGCCACAACCCATTCAATGGTGGATACTACCCTGTGCAGCTCAGCTTCAAAGAGGCCCAGGACCTCATGGCCTCCAGCCCTGCTGCCTTCAAGGTCCTCGTCCAGGAAAGGTGACAGCAGGCCGGGGCTGCTGGGGTGCGGGCCCACTGTGCAGCCTTGGGCAAGACCTTAACCTCTCTGAGCCTCTGTCTCCTCCTCTCAGATGGGGTCCTGGACAGGCATCCCTCATTTGACATTTGCAGAAGTGGTATTTGCAGAACACCTGGCACAGCTGAATGCCAGGGCGTATGTAGTACGTGGTCCTACGAGCTAGTGCATCTGTTTTCCCAGGGCCTGATGGGGTTGGTGATCAGTAAATGCTTGTTCAAAGGTCTGCCAGCTGAGTCTTGAAGGGTTTAGAACAGGCGCCAGGGATAGGAGGCGGCTTTGGGGCAGAAGGCTGCAGGACCAGAGGGAGCTTGGAGTGGGCAGGCCCGAGGAGCGGGGGGCTCTACAGTCTGTGGGCTGGAAGTGGGCAGGGAGCTCAGCTCTGTGGGGTGGCACTGGGGTGGTGGCAGTGGGCAGGGGTTCCAATGGGTGGAGCTGACCCCCTGCTCTTTGCAGCCTGAGGAGGCAAGTCTCAGCCATCAACAGGTTGGCCGAGGAGAACTTCTTCTTTTGGGATTACGGCAATGCTTTCCTCCTGGAGGCACAGAGAGCAGGTAGGTGAGGAGAAGGGAGGCCTGGCAAGGTTGGGCATGGGGCTGCTGCTGCCCGGGGCCACCAACCCCATGGGACCAACCACCCTTCCTCCCGTGCAGTAAGTGCTTGGGGAAGGCTTCACTGGGCCTCAGTTTCTCCACGTGCTATGAGAATGTGGGACAAATGCCATAGAGAGAGCTGGAAGGATGCTCAGGTACAAGCTTCGGCGCTCAGAACTGCAGCTTCCTTTTCCCACGATGGAAACTGCTCTCTGTAGAACAGTGATGCGCTCACAAAGCAGAAGGCTCAGAAGGTCTCCGTGCCCGCAATAGGAAGTCTCCCTTCCTGGAGACTGTAGGCTGTGGCGTGCCTCTCTGGGGACAGACAAGCATGTCCCCTCCCATGCCCTGGCCCCCACGCAGCAAGACACCAAAAGCTGCACCAGCTTTTTCTCCTCTTTTACTTACAAACAGACCTTGCTGACCCTCCCCAGGTTTCACTGGGACCTCTGTCTGAATCACCATCTGGGGTCGCTGTGTGTGTCCTCACACCAGGGTGGCAATTCTGTCCACAGGAGCAGACGTGGAGAAGAAGGGCTCCAATAAGGCAGAATTCCGCTACCCCTCATATGTCCAACACATAATGGGGTAAGTGACAGGTGGCTGCTGGTTCTAGAGTGCCTGTGCCACCCCTGCTGCCTTTCAGGGTCCAGGCCCTGGGCATTCAGTTTGGAAAGGCTGGAAGCTCTGACCAGCACCAAGATCATGTGCTGAGATCTTCCCATGGCCCCAAAATATCCAGGCACCGGGTCATGGGATTTCCACCATAGCCTACAGATGAGCAGGCACTGAAAACATGAGACATTCTGCAGGGCCTCGGTGAGAAAGCAGGGGGATGTGGGGGGCTGAGGCCACCTGCTGGTGACCACCCCAACCTCTGAGTGCCCATAACCCTCATTGGCTTGTCCATGGAGCTGCCCATCCCATGGCCATGGCCATGGCCACAGCCCCGAGTGGGCAACTGACAGCTTGATCGTGCAGACCAATACCTGCTGTGGCCCTGAGCCCACCTGCCTGTCTGGCCCTGCAGGGCAGGTCTGGGGAGGGCCAGCAGCCTGGACACTTAGGGGAGGAGGAGAAGAACCAGACAGGGGACAGGGGCCAAGGCCAGAGGCTTCAGGGCCATGCTGAGGAGTGCAGGCTTTCAGCTGTGGGCTGGGGAAGGGAAGGCACCACGCTGCTTTTGGAAGACTCACCAGCCCTCAGTGTGCACAAGATGAGACCAGAGAGAGATGGAGGCTGGAAAGGTCTTTTCACATTGTCAGTTTCACTGTGGGGTGCGGAGGCAGAGCCAGAAGTGGGCTGGGTCACTGGCCTGGGCACAGGGACAGATGAGCTTTCCCTGGGGAGGAAGGGGAGACTGAGGGGCATGGGGGGGTACTGAGGGGTGAGCACGACCCAGTTCTGGAGGCTGGCCCCTCTTCTCCAGGCATGTCACATGCTGCACCCCTGCCCAAGCCAGTGGGTGCAGCCTGGCTGGAAGTCCCAATGTGAGGAGGTGTTTTGTCCTTACAGGGACATATTCTCCCAGGGATTTGGGCCTTTCCGCTGGGTGTGCACATCAGGGAACCCCCAGGACCTGGCTGTCACGGACCAGCTGGCCACGTCTGTGCTGGAGGAGGCCATTGCTGATGGAGGTGACACCGCTGGGTGGGGAATGCTCATGGCGGGTAGTCTCCAGCACTCCTGCCTCCGTGTGGACAGGCTCCCGTAGCACGCCTGCCTGACAGCTGCAGGCAGACTTCAAGAGACCCCAGGCACAGAAGGCCTTTGTGAATCTGGTGGATGCTTGGTTGAGTACAGGAAGGCCCTTGTCCCTGGACATCGTTCTGAGCTGAGGAAGCACAGGCCCCAGCCCTACACCAGCCTGTGCCCTCCAGAGCTGTTCTCGGCTCTGCCAGTGTGGACCCTCTGGCAGCAAGTGACAGAAAGCCACTCAGTGGCCAGAGCAGAAAGGGTCTTAGTGATGTCTGTGTTAACCACTGGCTCACACAATTCCTGTAAAAGCACTGGTCTGCTCTCGTGAGCTGGTACAAACTGGCTACCAGCCCCTGCACCTGCCCTCCGTACCCGAGCCCAAGTGTCCTGTCTTCCCAGGATGGGCCACACTGGTGCCCACTCAGGGCCTTTCAGTGGCTGTTCACAGGGCTCTGCCTGGGACTCTGTTCTCTCAGAGCTTTGTGCAGCCGGCTTCTGCTAGCACTTAGGACTCAGCTTGACTGTGGCCCCCCCGGAGATCCTGGCCCCCTCAACCCACTACCCTCGTGACCACCTCATCGCATGCTTTCATTTCCTTCGTGGCCCACAGAAGTCTTCATTTCTGGTGCCTAGCTGGTGTCTGGTATACAGTGGGTACTCAGCTGTTTGTTGAGGGAACGACTGTATCAGGCAGTGGGTTGTACCCGTCCATCCATTAATTCATGTGGTCACTGGTACTGCCGGTTCCCAAAGTCAGGAAGACTGTTGTGGTGTGGGGGTGGGTTCCCTGGCTCCCCCCCAGCTCCAGTGATGGGTGCGAAGCAGGTGCCCGTGTCTGTGCCCCCTGGCATGGACTCCCAGTGCCCATGACACCCCCTCTGCTCTGTCCCTGCAGTGGAGGCGTCAGTGAAGCTGCAGTATATGGACAACATCCGCTGGATCCGAGAGGCCGCCAAGCACCGGCTGGTGAGGGCTCGGGCCTGGGGGAGGCAGGGGTGGGCTATCGGGACTTCCCAGACAGAAGTGAGGTGCTGCTGGTGGGCTCTCAGCCCAGCCCATGGCCCCTAGCTTGCCATGCCGAGAGGATGCGCACACAGCACCCCGTGGGTCTGGGTGTGGCGGCAGACCCCAGGGGGCACGCTGGGGGGGCAGCAGCAGCCACCTGCCAATGGGGATGGAGGAGGAAGCCCAGGGCCTTGCAAAGGGTGTGGGGAAAGGAGCCCTGCACTGCTGCTGGGGGCGCGAAGCGGTGCAGCCGCGTGGAGCAGTGTGGAGCCTCCTCCAAAGTCTGAGATAGAGCGGCCACACGGTGCCCCACCGCTCCTGGCACAGTCAGCCTCTGTGCCTGTGAGTTCCACGTTCGTGGATTCAACCAACTGTGGGTCCAAAATATGTATTCTTTAAAATTGCGTCTGTACTGAACATGTACAGACCTCTTTTTCTGTCGTTGTTCCCTAAACAATACAGGGCAACAACTATTTGCATAGCATTTACATTGTATTAGGTGTTATAAGTAATCTAGAGATGATGTAAAGTACACGGGAGGACATGCATAGGTTACACGAAGATACTGCACCATTTTATGTCAGGGACTTGAACATCTGCGGCTTGTGATCTCCGGGGGGTCCTGGAACCAGTCCCCTGAGGACACCAAGGGACGACTGTATATACAAAAGAATCGGAAGCAAGGTGTCAAAGGGGTGCGTGCACCCATGTTCACAGCAGCACTGTTCACATAGCTAAAATGTGGAAGAAGCCCACATGTCCATCGACGGAAAATTGGCGAAACAAAATGTGGTCCACCCATCCAGTGGAATGTTAATCAGCCTTAGGAAGGAAGGACGGGTGAACCTTGAGGACATCATGCCGAGTGACATCAGCCAGCTATAAAAGGACAGATACCGTAGATTCCACTTAGGTGAGGTCCCTAGAGCAGGAGGAGCATAGAGACGGAAAGTAGAACAATGTTAATCAGCCTTAGGAAGGAAGGACGGGTGAACCTTGAGGACATCATGCCGAGTGACATAAGCCAGCTATAAAAGGACAGATACTGTAGATTCCACTTACGTGAGGTCCCTAGAGCAGGAGGAGCATAGAGACGGAAAGTAGAACAGTGGTCCCAGGGGCTGCGGGAGGAGAATGGGGACTCAGTGTTCACAGGGGACAGTTTCAGTCTAGGAAGATGGAAGAGTTCTGAGCTGAATGGTGGGGATGGGTGCACAATGATGTGAGTGGACTTAATGCCACTCAACCGTACACTTACAAATGGTTACAATGGTAAGTTTTATATCATATGTATTTTACTTAAGAAAAAACCTGGGGAAAGAAGAGGGCCTGCCAGGCAGGGTGACGCGGGGTGGGGCTGCTTCACGCAGCCAGGTCAGGAAAGGAGTCTGGCATGTGCCCTCAGGTGGAGGTGCCGAGAACATGGCAGCCGTGCGATAGTCGGGAGGCAGAGGGACAGCTGCCGCACGTCTCCAAGGAGGAGGGAGCCGAGTGTGCTGACGACAGAACGAAAACATGAAATGGGCATTTGGTTCACACGTCTTTGGCCGCAGACCGTACCTGGACCAGTGGGACTATCCCCTGCTCCTGGGCTGTCTCATCAGCCACAAAAGCCCTTGTGCCAACAGCAGTCTGGCCTTGCTGAGTCGAACACCCAAGGCCAAGGCTTGAGGACTGGGGCATGGGCAGGAGGGGACTGCGGGAGAGAGTGAGCAGAGTCGGGTGGAGACGGGCAGAGAAGAGAGGAGGACGGGCCTGGACGAGGGACCGGTGGGCGGTCGTGAGGGTCAAGGGCATGCGGAGGGGCCCGCTGGACACTGCTGTGGGGCAGTGGGCAGGACTGTTCTGTCTGGGCTAGAGCTGTTCAGGGTTGGGTTCTTCCTACTTCGTGTTTTCTCTTATGAATGACGGTGATCGCAGAAGGTGTCTTCTAGATCCAAAAAATGGGAAAATCTCTGCAGCACCAACTCACACTTACAGTTTCCTGTAAAGGGTCTGGGTAACGTAGGGCCATTCCATAGAAACGGCGAGTAGGCAGGACGCAGCTCGAGCCCGGTGCTGCCCGGGGCCGAGCTCACAGCCAACGCAAGGCTCCCTCCAGCGCCGGCCCCCCTGACCCAGCCGGGCAGCCGGGGCGCACAGTGCATCTCCTTTGGGAAAGCAGAGCCTGTCAGCCTCCACACTACTGACAGTTGGGGTCAAATAAATTTTTTAAAATTGTGGTACAATATACATGAACGTAAATTTACCACCTTACCCATTCTTAAGTGAGCAGTTCAGTGGCATTAAGTACTCACATCACCGTGCAGCCATCAGCACCATCCAGCCCAGAACTCTTTCATCTCCCCAAACTGAAACCCTGATTCCCTGTGCTGCACCCCCAGCACCCACCGTTCCACTTTCTATCTGTGAATTAACGACTCGAGGGCCCTCACATAAGGAGGATCATGCAGTATTTATCTTTCTGTGTCTGGCATAAAGGCTGAATGATATTCCAATGTATGAACAGACCACAGTTGGCTTATCCATCCATCCATCCATCCACGCACACATGGGCTGCTTCCACCTCGTGGCTGTTGCGAGTGATGCTGCTGTGGACACGGGTGTGCACGTACCTCTTCAAGTCCCTGGGGGTTGGATAATTCTTTGTCATGGGGGGCCATCGTAGGGTGTTTGGAAGCATCCCTACCCATGCCAGCGCACCCAAAAATGTGTCCAGTCATGGCCAAGTGGTTGAGCACCACAGGGAGAAGCAATGATTCATTGTCTTTGCTGAAGCTTGTCTCTTGGGAACAGCCACCTGTCACCTTCCAGATGTGCTATATAGTATGCTGGTTGAGCACGCAGGTGCTGAAGACAGACATGAGGGTCCAAGTCCCGACCCGTGGCAGGTCGCTCAGCCTCTCTGGGTCTCGGTTTCCTCATCTGAAAGACGGAGCTTATGAGGAGGACAAGTGTCTCCTCCTGAGATTCACGACCGAGGGACTATGTGTGAGGTACTTGGTGTTGTGGCAGGAGCACCCAAAATCACACTGTTGAAATGACTTAAGCGGAGGGATGCTCATTAATGCCCACCCTCCCTGCAGCACAGGCGAGTCAGGGTCTCTGAGGCTCCTCCAGGGACAAGCCCTTGGGGGATGGATCATGGAGGGGCACTGGGGCCCAGCCTGCAGATGGATGCGCGGGGCTGGTGTGGCTGTCTGGGGGTGGACGTGAAGGTTGCTGCAGGCCCATAGAGTCAGAGCTATCGCACACCTGGGAGGCCTCCGGGCCTTCCTGGGGAGGCCATCATGCTGCTGGTGGACCATGTCTGCGGCTGTGTCACCACGATCCGTGCGGCACCAGGTCCTGGCATTCCCACCTCCTTTGGCTGAGATGCCTCTTGCCCTTCCTCCCGCAGGTGGTGGGCTCCCAGGCGAGGATCCTGTACTCGGACCAGAGGGGCCGTGTGGCCATTGCTGTGGCCATTAACCAGGCCATCGCCCGCAGGCAGATCAAGGTGCTGTGTGCTGTGCTCTGGGGAGGCTTCCCTCAGGCTCTTCCATCAGCACGGGTGCTGTCCGGGATCACCTGCTAGCCCACCCCCACTGCCCGGCCTCTGGGAGAGGCACCACCCCCTGGCCTCACAGCCTGCCATTCAGGAGCTTCCACCCTCCCCAGCTGAGGCCCAAACTGCCACCGTTTTAGAGAAACCAGGTTTCACTGAAGGCTAAGGTCCCTGTGGATTGGCCAGGCAGTGGGGCTCACAGATGAGCTGTCTCTGGACTAGGTCTGCTTAGGAAGGTGAGGCTGTGAGGGGCCGTGACAGAGGCAGGAGGCAGGAGAACATGGAGGGGCTTGTGTCCTGCGCCCCAGCTCGTGTGTGTGTGTGTGTGTCACTGTGGGGGGTGGGCAACTGGGGTCTGGCAGTCAAACCCAGGCCCTGACACTGTCCCTTGATGTGGGACACTGGGGATGTCAAGGGTCCTCTCTGAGCCTCAGTTTCCCTCTTCTATGAAAAGAGAATAATGGTAAAACCTCAAAGTGTGGGTGTGAGGACTGAATGAGCCAGCTTTCAGAAATGTAATTTCACACATCTTTTCTGAGTTATCTTTTCCAAATCATGACAAACTTCCCCAGCTTCTCCCCACTTCCCTCCAAATCAGCCAGGCCCCACTCCGAGGATGGGGACTCAGGCCGCACCTGCCGGGAGGGGCCGCGTACCTCCCCTGGAGGCCCAGGCTGCAGAGCAGGCACCTCTGTCTGACGTGCCAGGAATACTCATGACGAGACGTGAAAGAGAAATGGAGAGGGATACGTGAGACCGTCCCTGTGGGTGGTTCCGGGGGGGGTGGGGTGGCACTGGCAGCAAGGACAGCAGCCCCCTGCCTTCTCAGGGAGCACAGGCGGGATGCACCATGCTCTCTGCCCCCCAAGAGCCCGCCGGGTTTCGGGGGTTGCTGGTGACGCTCTCGGTTCAATCATAGGGGCCAGCAGAGAGAGGTAGGCGTCTGATCCTTCCTTCCTTCCTTCCTTCCTTCCTTCACTGGACAGCACTTGATTGAGGCATGTCCTAAGCACCAGGGACATGGCAGAGAACAAAGCGAAACAGTCCCCACCTCGCTGTACTTAGTTTAGTGAAGGAAACTGAGGACACACCACTAAAGGTGCATATCAAGAGAATTTCAGGTGGAGAGGGCCCTGTGGAGAGAACGAGCCAGGTGGCGAGGTGGAGGGTGACAGTGCTCAGGATGGGCCTTTCTGGGTTGCTGACGTTGAGCTGAGGCCCGCATGTCCAGAAGGTGCCAGAATATCTGGGAGAAGGTGGCTTCGTTGTGAAGGTGAAGGTGTGGGGACAAGCTTGGCTGCTCGAGGAGAGGAGCCTCTCAGTGCAGGAGCAGGGGCCTCCCAGCCTCTCAGCAGATGCGTCCTACACGGCAGCCCGTGAAAGTCCAGGACCCGCTGGGAGCGATGGGAAGACCCACACCCCTTGGGCCAGCCATACCTCCTTTATGGGACACTTAGAGAAGGGTCCCCAGGGCTCTGCATAGGAACAGCTCCACTTTGCCAGAGCAGCTGGGCTGTTACCCAGTGCCGCGTGGACGACTCCCCTGCACCCCATCCTTTCAGCTTGGCTTCCCTTTTCCACAGTTCCTTCACTCAGTTTTTAAATTGCTCCAGTTAGAACCTGTTTCCATAATGGGCCCAGCCTTGCACAGCACAGGGGAGTGGTCTTAGCCACAGCCCACTTGGCCTTCAGGGCTGCACCAGGCTCCGTCATGTAGGCCCAGAGCAGCAGAGCTGCCGGGCTGCGTCTCCTGAACCACCAAGAGGCCTGAGGTCTTTGGGGAACAGGGATTGCTGCCAACGTGTGTGCTAAAAAAATGAAGGTCAATGTGGGTGCTTTCACCACATGAAAATCTCTGTCCTCAAAGAGACTAGCAGTTAGCAATTATCTTGTCCAGGAAACCAAGGCCCAGAGTGGGGAGGTGACCCTAACCAAGGTCACACAGGGAGGGACTGCCAGATCTGGCGTCCCAGGTCGCTGTCCTCCCCCAGCCATGCCCACCAACACCCCCGGCTGACTGCCAGCCCCTTTCCTTCCTGCGCAGGCCCAGGGGCCAGGCTTCCTAAGGGTAGAGCCCAGACTCCAGTACCATGTGTGGGTGTAAATCCCACCTCACCCACCCGCTTGCTCTGTGAAGTTTCTTACCCTCCGTGCCTCTGTTTTCTCGTTTATAAAGTGCGCATGATAACAGTCGTACCCATCTGGAGAGGGCTGTCAGGAGGGCCTAGTGAGCTCGTGTGCAGCACATGGGCGCTGCCGGGGCACAAGAGTCTGTGGCTAGCTGCAGATGGCATCAGAGACAGCCTGTACTTCTCCTGTGGAAGAGGGTCTGTTTTCAAGAGGGAGGAATCCACAGGGCTTCTGGTGTGGCCTGGCCCTTGTCCTCTGCCTGCTGTCAGCGGCCTTGGTGCACAGCGCTGCTGACGTTTGTATCCTCCACGCTGCAGGCACCGGTGGTTCTGAGCCGGGACCACCACGACGTGAGCGGCACTGACAGCCCCTTCAGGGAGACCTCCAATATCTACGATGGCTCTGCCTTCTGTGCAGGTGAGGAAGACAAAATTTTTCTGAATTTAATGTTAGATTTGGATTTTCTTTAAAGACCTGTTGACTCATTCTTTTAGTCACGATGTTGTGGAAGATGTCCTGGCATCTGAGACTTGACTTAAGGTGACCACCTTAGGACAGAGGAGGTTCTGGGACGTGGGACTTCCTATTTTTAAACTGGGCCAGTGCCAGGCAAACCAGGACAGTGGAATGCCCGAGATTTGGGTGTGCACCTGGACCTGTCACATGCTGGGTGATCTGCAGCCACGTGCTTCCCTCTTCTGTAAAGTGCAGGTGGTGGTCGTTCCTCCANAGCCAGTGAGCGGGAACCGGTCTGTATGTGGGATCCGAACCCTGGGCGGGAGCGCTGCCGCACTTCCCAGGTGGCGCACTTGTCCAGTGCGCCACTGGGCCGGCCCCAGATTCATTGATTTCTACTCTGATCTTCAGTAGTTCCTTCCTTCTCCTTGCTTTGAGTCTAGTTTGCTCTTCTTTCTCTGGAAAGCATAAGGTGGAATCTGACCTTGAGATTTTTCCATCTCTTATGTAAGCATTTGATGCTATAAATTTCCCTCTGAACACTGCTTTACCTGCCTCTCACAAATTTTTACATGACATATTTTCATTTTCATTCAGTTGAAAATATTTTAAAATTTTATTTGAGACTTCCTGTTTGACTCACTGGTTATTTAGAAGTATGTTTTTCAACTTCCAAATCTGGGGGGATTTTTCAGACATCTTTCTGTTATTCATTTCTGGTTTCATTCCATTATGGTCTGAGAATTTATTGTGTATGATTTCTGTTCTCTTAGATTTGTTAAGAATTTTTTGTGGCTCAGAACATGGCTTATCTTGGTGCAGTTGAGAAGAATGTGTATTCTGTTGTTTGGTGGAATGTTCTATAGATGTAAATATGGTCAGGTTAATTGATAATGCTATTCAGGTCACCTATATCCTTCCTGATTTTCTGCCTACTACTTCTGTAAATCACTCTGATAGGAGTGTTGAAGTCTCCATCTATATTTGTGGACTTGTCTATCTTTCTTTACAGTTCTTATCTAATTTGCCTCACATGTTGTGTTTTTTGTTTGTTTGGGTTTTTTTGGCAGCTGGCCAGTACAGGGATCCAACTCTGGCCCTTGGTGTTATCAGCACCACCCTCCGACCACTGAACTGACTGGCTAGCCTTGCCTCATGAATTTTAAAGCTAAGATGATAGGTGCATACTCATTTAGGTTTGTTGTCTTCTTGGAGACAACAAACCTAAATGAGACAACAAACCTCCTTTATCAGTATGTAATGTTTCTCTTTATCCTGACAATGTTCCTTGTTCTGAAGTCCACTTTCTCTGATATTAATATAGTTTTGTATTAGCATCCTATGACCACTGTAACAAATTGCCACAAACTTAGTGGCTTAAAACAACACAGATTGGGACAGCATCTAGAGGAAAGTGTTCTCAGGATTCTCCTCAGTCTTCTCCGTGACACCCAGTGGGGTTCTGGAGGAATAGCCTACAAGAGGGTGCAGATGCCCTCGTGTCTGTGTCCCCAGAGCTTTCACAGTCTCAGGCTAGTTCTCGCTGTCCTTTAGCAATGCATTAGGCTCTTGGAAGGTGCCCAGTATGGGCTCTGTTTCTCTCTGCAGGTGCTCTTTCTCCCCAGGTCTCAGGTTAGGTGGTTGTCTTGGGACCTTGGTCTCTGATTGGGTCAAGAAAAGTCATTCATGTGCAGTTTGTCCCTTCTTGACCTGCTTTTTCAAGGGTGGACATGATGCTCTTTGGCTCATCTCTGAGCGAATGCTGGTGACTCATCCCTTCTGACTCTTTTGCTCTTTCTGCTTCTGAGGCACTTACTCTGGTGGTCAGTGCTCAAGAGGATAATTACAGGGAGGGACAAGAGGGGAAACTGGGCACTTGGCAATTTCTCCTGCTTCAGCTCAAGTTCTTCAAACACAAATTATTGCTGTTTCTATAGTTGCCTGTCCCTAGTCTCCTATGCCTGGCCCCCAGAACCACCTAGTCCAGGGAGTGATGGGTGGTGGCTTCTCTGTTCCTGCAGACATGGCCGTGCAAAACTTCGTGGGAGATGCCTGTCGCGGAGCCACCTGGGTTGCACTTCACAACGGAGGCGGTGTGGGCTGGTAAGGTTTCTGAGACCAATGTGGCTGGATGTGGAAGTCTTAGAGACTCCCGGGGGCCGGGCCAGGTTTGGGTGGCTGAAGTCCTGGGCCCTACCTCCCCCGCCACTTTCCTCTGCTAACGGCTTTGCTGTAATACGTTCCTCGTGTGAGCTGGGAATCGGAGGAACAGAATATCAAGGAGGTTTCACATGTCACGAGGGGACACCAAGGCCTGCTGTGGACGCTCAGTAAAAGCAACAACCAGCTTTCATGTCAGTTTCCTGGTGCATTCTCAGTTCTTTCCTCTCCCCACTGTGATCACCTCACCTGAGAGTGCAGGACCCGCCCAAGGTGCCCAGGGCAGCTGGGCTGGGAGGCGGGGGACCTGGGTTCTAGGCTCCCCTCTGTCCCCGGCTCACTGCTCTGCCCTGCCCAGGCTGCTTCCAGTCTGTACTATGAGGGATTGGAGTTTCTGGGAGGCCTTCATTCCACCTGATTTGCTGTTCCACCAGAATGACACCTGCTAAGAGTAATAACTAACACTTATTGAACACAGGCCATATGGCAAGCATTTGCCAAACTCTTTGAATCCACTCTCTCACCTAATCTTAGGAGGAAAGCACACTTTACAGATGAGGAAACTGAGGCACTGAGCTATTGACGAACTACACCTGTGCTGCTCTACCTCTGCAGGAAAAGGGCTCCAGGTTGGGGCACCTGGCCAAAGCTGGATTCCTTGGCTACTCTGAGCAGCAGAAGTGCCACGGCTTCAGTGAGGAAGACAGCCCCCCAGCCCTGGCTCTCATGGCCATCTCTGAACTGACCTCCAAGCCCATTTTGGCCAATTCAAGCAACCCCCTGCCTTCCAAAGCCAAGTCCTTCAGCACTCGAGCTTCTGAGAGCTGGCTTGGCCGTGGGCCCTTGGAGGCTGGAATTCCTAGCTGCAACGCAGTCAGGTGGCTTTGATTAGTGGAAAATGTGACCAGAGTGCCATGACATCGTATAACTTCGTATAATGTATGCTATACGAAGTTATTACGCCTGGCCAAAGCTGGATTCCTTGGCTACTCTGAGCAGCAGAAGTGCCACGGCTTCAGTGAGGAAGACAGCCCCCCAGCCCTGGCTCTCATGGCCATCTCTGAACTGACCTCCAAGCCCATTTTGGCCAATTCAAGCAACCCCCTGCCTTCCAAAGCCAAGTCCTTCAGCACTCGAGCTTCTGAGAGCTGGCTTGGCCGTGGGCCCTTGGAGGCTGGAATTCCTAGCTGCAACGCAGTCAGGTGGCTTTGATTAGTGGAAAATGTGACCAGAGTGCATTTCCTTTCCAACTTACAGGCTGGAGAAAACCGGGACAGAAAAGGACTGGCAAGTTATTGGGTGCCTCGTGTTCCGGTGCTAGATTTATGGAGTCGCCTTTGGAGAAAAGGAAATAGCTCTAGAGGAGGCTGTGTGGCCCAAGGCCACAGAGCTGGTGGGGAGCCAGGGTCTGAGCCCAGACCTGTTGTCTCCCAGGACCCACCGTCATTGCCGACAGGACACAGAGGGCAAGAAGGGGCAGGGGAGGCTGAGCAAGAGTTTGCACCACGAGGACCCTGGGGCTGGGCCAGCAGGCCCAGGATTTAGGCAGGACGCAGCTGACCGCTGACCCTGCGCTGGGGCTCCCCGAGGCAGGGAAGGCTCCCGCACATCCCTAAACTGCTCCACCTCCCAGAGGTCTCCCCAGGCTCTGTGGACTCAGGCCGTGAGAGGCCAGAACCAACGCCCCTTACCCTTATTGTCCTTGGGGGCTGTTTTGGGAAAGTGCCGCAAATTCACTTTTGGCATCCATCAGACTTACACACGCGCATAACTTAATCTGTCGGATAAGTCAGCGGGAGGAAGTCTGTCCCTGCAGCTACTGCCATTCTGTCAAGAAACCAATTCTGACTCTGCAGCTGTGTTTTCCTTTGTCGTACGCACGTCCATGTTCTAAGTTATAAGCTTATCCTGAGATTTCTTGATTTGCTTTTCTGTTTTTTAGATTGTCTGTTGGCTGCCTCTTGTGCAGTGCTCGAGACAATCAGATGGCTGGGTGTGTTTCCAGCTGCCTCCGTGGCCCCGTCTCCTCAGAGCCCCTCTTTCCAGTGGCCTGTTTGGTGTCTGTCTTTGTGCTGTCTGTCAGCGGTCATGTTTAGAGGGGGTGCTGGCAGGCAGGCGGCAGCCCTGTGTGCTTGGGTGGTCCTATAGACAGTGGATTGCAGGACGGGGCCATCTGGCCAGGCCGCAGAGCAAGAGGTCAGAGGCTGGGCTTGGCTAGTCAGACCTCAGAAAAGACCTTTCTGGTCTCCTGTCCCTGTCAGGTGTCAAAGCTTCACGTGTTAGAGGGTCACCTCCAGCCCCCTGCTGAGGGTCGGCTCGGGCAGCCGTGAGCATCTGGGAGTTCCCTCAGGAGAGCTCTCCCTTCTGTTCTCGCCCCTGCTCCAGACCTCCTGGGCACTGCCAGCTCCTGAGGTTTCCTGGGCCCTGGGGCGCTGATGGCTCACTGCTGGCCGTCCCCATAGCCACCCAGTTCCCTCAGGAGAGCTCTCCCTTCTGTTCTCGCCCCTGCTCCAGACCTCCTGGGCACTGCCGGCTCCTGAGGTTTCCTGGGCCCTGGGGTGCTGATGGCTCACTGCTGGCCGTCCCCATAGCCACCCGGAGCGGGAGCTTTCCTGTCTGCTCTCCTGCTTCCCATGTCCCACTGCTTCTCCTCCTCCTCTTTCTCCCTGTCCCTGCCACAACAGTGGGGTTCCGTCCGCCGTCCTTACTGCTTCCCACTACAGGGTGTCTCAGTGCATCTCAGACCTGACCGTGCACAGGAGTCCTCAAAGTGCAGGTCTGGATGGGGTGGAGATTCAGCACTCTGACAAGCTCCCAGGTGGTGCTCATGCTGCCGGCCTGAGGACTGCTCTGAGCAGCCAGGGCTCCGAGGGCTCTCTGTGCACATCTGCCTCCTCCACGCCGTCCACCCATGCAGTGGACAGTACTGTAGCGCAGTGGTTAAGAGCGTGCACTCAGAGGGCAGTCTGACTGCACAAGCTGTGTCTGCGCCTTCGTTTCTCATAGGAGAAGTGGTCATGACAGCAGCCGTTGCTATGCAGACTGGAGGTGAAGATCACTTACGTCAGTGGTAATGGCTACGCACACGGTGCACAGCACGTGCGAGGCCTTCTAAGCATTTGTAACGTTCACTCACCCGACTGCGGGCTTTAGTGCACCTGGCATTTACTTTTCTTTCTGTGTGACGTGGAGTCCTACTTTCATGTTTTTCCCAGAGGTACAGTTAGCTGTCCCAACACCATCTGTGAGTAACCTCAACTCCTCCACAACAGCAAGGCTCCACCATTCCCATCTTCCTGGACTCTGCATGCTCAGGGCTCCTCTGCAGCCAGTTTGCTGAAGTCACCTGGGCTGAGCAGCCTTGGTGTTTGATCCTTTGGGTGGCAGGCTCCTAAAACAAAAGATGTAGTTCTAATCTCCGAAAGGCCTCCTTAGTTGAAGGACACATCAGAGTCCTCAGGTCTTGGCCAGCTGCTGCCCTTTCTCCTCGTGTAGCCGGCATCGGCCCGTCACAGGTGAATGGGGGTGACATTAGGTCAACTGGGAGCATCTTCCACCCAGGAGACTGGTGTGTTGGCAGCCCTCTCGAGGGCCTAGGACTGCTCAGGGCAGAGCAGGGGCTGGGGGCCCACACCCAGGAGGTGCTCAGCTTCTGAAACTGGGAGTGGGGGTGCAGGTGGTTCAGGGCACCTCAGCTTCCTGGTGAGAACTGGCTGAAGTTGTTGCCAGTAGGGTCCAGGCCGGGTAGGGAAGCAGATAAAGACAAAAGCCTGAAGGATCTGACACGAGGGAAACTAGATGCACATTTTGGGTGCAGGAAGGAGAAGGGGCAGCACTGCAGTGTGTGAGGAGTAAAGCAGGACGGACACGTCCGCAGCAAAGCAGTGACAGGCATCGTCAAGATCGGGGTGTCTCTTGCTTGTGTAACCGAAAGCTGAGAAGACTGGGCAGCAGCAGCACAAAGCCCTTGGTGATGACAGCAAGGACAAGGATGGAGAAGGTCATCCCGGGTGGACAGAGAATGGCTGCAGGGCAAACGAGGAAAGCAGAATAGCACTGCGGGACTTAACTGAGGTTCAGGTTACTTCTGCTAAGGAAGAATGAAAACAAGAACATGTCACAACCTGCAGAACATGTCAAAACAGTACGTGCATTAATTAGAAAGCAAGAAATACTGAAAATAAAGGAACTCCGCCTTCAGATCAGGTCATCAGAAGGGCCCAAAAATACATCTGAAGCAAGGAGAAGGGGTAGGAAAGATCAAGGTCATAAAGATAAAATCAGCAGGAATGACACTTGAACTGAGTAACACAAGTGGCACCCCAAGGAAGCGCGCCTCCACGGGCGGCACTGTGAGGACGGCCCAGGGTGGGCGGGCAGACTTCAAGCAGGAGCTGCCTCCCAGCGAGGCACTGCTGCAGCGAGGCACGACGCCTGCACCCATTGGGCCCATGCTCCACGGTGCACAGGCAGATGCGGCTCTCCCACACTGCTGCCTTCTCAAACCAACACTCCCCAAACCCACGAGTCTGCCTGCTCCGGGCAGAGTCAGGCCCAGGGAGTGACCTGGAAATGCCTCTGCCTCTTGCAGGGGTGAGGTCATCAACGGGGGGTTTGGCCTCGTGCTGGACGGGACCCTGGAGGCTGAGCAGAAAGCCAGGATGATGCTCAGCTGGGACGTCTCCAATGGTGTAAGTCATCCCCCACCTCTCCACCTCCTCTTCCATCCCTCGGTGGCTCTCCTCTTCAGACTGCAGGCCTGAGACAGAGTCCTGTCCCCTCGTCCCCAGAAAAGAGCTGGATGCTCTTCAGGTCACGTCCCTCCTCTTGGCCACTGCCAAGGCTCCCTCCTCCCCAGACCACCACTGTGTCTCTCCCAACCACGTCCAGAGTGTACTTTGGGCCTCCCTGCCTCTGGCCTTACCCCTGCAGTCCAGCCTCTGTCCACATGGGTGGCCCTGGCAGTCCCAGCCCCTCCTCCCAGCAGAGCATGCCCAGCGCTGCTGTTGAGAGCCTGTTGTGAGATGTTCTCTCACCCCCATCTTCGAAGGTGGGCAGAAAGCACAGGTTCTAAGCGGGGCGGGCTTTGGCTGTGCAACCACAGTCCCCTTTGCTGTGACATGGCGTGTGTGTGTGGGGGTGTGTGTGCTGGATTCCTCTCCATGACCATATCACAGGCAGCCAAGAAGGGGGGAGCGGCTTACACAGGAGGTCAGAGGTCGGGTGGTGGGGGAGGAGGGTATGTGGGATGTGAGTGAGATGCAGAGGCGGCTGGGGAACTGTGTGCAGGAGTCCAACAGTGTGATGTTGCCAGGTGACTGAGGGCCCCCAGGCTGGCCCAGATGGCAGGGGACACGCTGGCAGGCAGACTGCAGGAGCCGCAGGGCCTCCAGGGTGGGGGTGGGGGGTCTTCATCCTGAAGCAGTGAGAGTTGGGGAGAGCCATGGCCAGGTTTCATTCTAGGAGGCGCCACTGGCTGTGGCATGAAGATGGATTGGAGAGGCACAGAGACACGTGGATGAGGGGTTGGCGAGACTGGCACCAGGGAGGAGGGCGGGGGACATGGCTGTCATCCAGGGGGGACCGACGGAGAGAAGTGGACGGGAGGGAGACTTTGAAGGTGGAGCTGAGGTTGGTGCAGACCCTGTGAGGATGGAAGGGAGGTGGGGCTGAGGATGTCCCAGCTCCTGGCCTGCTGCCCACAGGGCCACTTCTGGAGGCGAGGGAGACAGGGCTGGGTGGGGTGACGGCCAGTTTCCGATCCGAGAGGAGTCAACCAGTGGTCCAGGCAAGAGAGGGGGAGGCCTGAGCTGCGGGGGCAGGGCAAGCAGCAAAGACAGCTGCCCCCGGACAGCGTCGGCAGCCCTTGAAGTAGAGGAGGGTGGGGAGCTCGGGAGCCAGAGCACCGCACGGGAAGCTGGTGAGGTGACACCAACTGCTGCACCCTTCCCCAACACCACTGGCAGGTGGCCCGGCGCTGCTGGTCCGGAAACCAAAAGGCCTATGAGACCATCTGCCGGACGATGCAGGAGAGCCGCGGCTTGGTGGTGACGCTGCCCGAGGCAGTGGAGGAGCACGTGCTGCAGCGGGCCCTGTGGCCCTGAGAGGGAGCTGAGCGCCAGCGGCCGTCCCCTCTGTCGCTCTTCCTCCCTCAGGCCTGTCCTCACCCCCCAGCCACAGCACACCTTCTGCCGCACACCTTCAGCTCCTGGGCTTCAACGCGTGCCTCACGCAGCCCCCTAGAGCCCTGGACAGGGCTGCTGCTACCGGACCCATTTTACAGATGAGCCAGCTGAGGCCTGGAGTGCTGCAGCTGTGTGCCCATGACCGCATTTCGACAGGGACCCTGGGTCCTCAGGCCTGCTCTGACCACTGGCTGAGCCGAACACCCACCGGACCCCTCCCAAGCTGCCTCTCGGAGGTTTCTTTGGCCAGGTTTCATCATGTCGCTGTGCCTCCTGGCCACCTGCCATACACCACGCAGTTCTCTGTCTGTCTGCCCATCCGTGTGTCCGTGCAAGTACTTTCTGCACCTCAGCGCCCAGGCTTGGGGACACAAAGGGCTCGACGAGGCCCTGGGCCCAGAGGAGTCTAGGGAGGAGGATAGAGAAATAAAAGTTGAACAGAGTGCTGTGCACGGTGTCCTGAGGTGGAAGCAGCTGGTGGGAGGGCCAGGCACAGCCACCCCTAAGGATAAGTGATCATTTGTTGGGCAAAAAAAGAGAGAGGAGTGGCATTCCCCATGGCATGAATCATGAGAAAAACTGACTGCGTATGACAGAGGTTACCCTAGAACCTGTCTGGGACCTGGCTGGCCTGCAGGAACCATGGTGAGGCTGGAGGCCTGTGGCCCCTCACCCCAGATCCCACAACCAGTGATGGCTGCCCCCGAACCCCAGCCTCAGACGCAGGCACCCAGGCAAGAGAGGCCTGCATTTGGAAGACAGCACTTTTTCATCAAGGGTTCCCCCACTATCAGGGCCCCTCCCACCTCCCAGACCCGGGGTTGCTCTGTGCCCCACCTCAAGCCCCACCGGGTGCTGCAGGACTGTCCATCCCTGGAGTGGAGCCAGGCTCAGGAGAAATCACGGGGAGAGGGGAAAAAGACACTCAGAGAGGCCACTGACCTGCAGTCCAGTGACGGCTGTGCTGGGGTGAGGATCTTAGTCTTGTTTGCTCACACAGCGGGACCCAGGACAAACCTGTTGTCTTCCCTGAGCAGGCACCTTTGGGGAGGGGTAAGAGGGGTCTTCCAGCCTGCCCCAATCCTGGACAGACCATGACAGGGGCCAGGGACTGGGGTCACTTCTTCCCTGTCCTCAGCAACCAGAGACAGCTGCTGTTGGGGCTGCTCCCTTCTCTGTAAACATACAGTGCCAAGCAGGGAAGCAGGCAGAGGCTGCCACTGGAGCAGGCCCCTCAGTGTCCTACTGCATTCATTCACTGTCTACACTTGGAAGGAGACCCTACCCCTCACCCCCGTGACCTTACTGTGAAGGGCAGGGCAGCCTTGGCCACGAACCTCATTCCCATGAGTTCCTGCACCTTAGCCAGGCCCAAGACACACTTGCAAGTGACTCATCCTAAACAAAGAAATGAGGAAGACTGAGGGATGGGTGTCTGAGGGGCCACAGAAAAGCAGACTGCAGACCAGAGGGGGCAGGTCTAGCTGGGTCCTTGGTCCTCAGACACCCCGTGCTCTTTGTCCCCTGCCAGCAGCTCTTCTCCACATCCCTTGCTAATAAAACCCAGTTTTACAGGGCAGCAATATGTCCCATAAAAATACTTGGTTTCCCAGCCTCCCTTGCAATTAGGAGTGACCACTGGCCCAGTTCTGGCCCATGGGCTGAGGGGAGTCTGCTGGGCAGGACTTCTGAGGAAGCCGTTGTGTTTCTAATAAAAATGGGCAAAGGCAGCTGGGTCGCTGTTGGCCTCCACTCCTTCCCGCCAGAACCTAAGATGCGATGCTTGGAAACACAGCCGCTATGTTAGTCTGCTTGGGCTGCCTTGACACAATAGCCCGGGCTGGTGGCTGGCACAACAGACATTTGTTTTCTTAGTTCTGGAGGCTGGAAGTCCAAGATCGAGGTGCCAGTTGATTTGGTTCCTGGTGAGGGCTCTCTTCCTGGCTTGCAGACAGCTGCCTTCTCTCTGTGTCCTCACATGGCAGAGAGAGAGTGCACGAGCCAGCAAGCACACGCTATCGTGTCTCTTCTTAAAAGGACACTAATCCCATCATAAGGCCCACCTGTGTGACTTCATCTAACCCTAATTACCTCCCAAAGGCCCCACCTCCAAATATCACCACATGGGGGTTAGGGCTTCCATATATAAATTGGGGGGACACAAACATTCAGTCCAAAACAGCAGGCACTCTGTGTTGTAGTCCACACAGTCCATGTGGAGGACGCAGCTGAAGAGGCAGAGGCGCCTGAAGTGTGGCCACCTCCAAATATCACCACATGGGGGTTAGGGCTTCCATATATAAATTGGGGGGACACAAACGTTCAGTCCAAAACAGCAGGCACTCTGTGTTGTAGTCCACACAGTCCATGTGGAGGACGCAGCTGAAGAGGCAGAGGCGCCTGAAGTGTGGCGGCTCCTGGCTGTGCGTGGAGCTGCTGTGCCAGCCCCAGCCAGGCCCTGCCCCTTTCCTCTGTCCTTGCCTGTTAAAGCTGTCCGGGCAGGGCTTCTGTTTCACGCAGTAAGTAGTCTCTAAATGACATGTCATCTGTCAACAGGTCTCCACACAGCACCCTGGTGCCCGTACCTGTGTGAATGTTTACAGACCAGGCCCTGGCATCGTCTGTTTTCACCAGCACCTCCCTCGTCAAGGACAGGCAAGGCTCCATGGCCAGCTTGGGCCGAGGCCTCTCCAGCACACACTATGGCCTTAGCCCCCCCTTGGCTCCACACCACGCCATGCCAGTAAGCAGGCCATTTTCCTGGGCCACCACACAGCAGCCTGCTGCAGGCTGACAGGACAGTGGGGCCCCCCTCAAGCTCCCTGGGGATTTGGGGCAGCTGGGCACAGCTTGGGTGGCCGTCGGTGGAGCAGCGTGGCTTTTGATGTGTCTAGGTCAGCCTTCTTTTTAAGAAGGCAAGGATGTGTCGTCCAGTTAGAAATGTTTTCATCAAAATGATCAAAATAGAAACCAATTGGCCGTGATGGGCGTAGTCTTCGGTTTCCTTGAAAACTGGAAGTCGTGAATAGCTTGGGCCCCATATTGCAGCCTTGGGGTCCTTACCCTGGGCAGCTTCTTCTCTCTGCCAACCCAGAGCCCCTGAGAGCTGCACCCTTCCCTTGCTAGCAAGCCCAGGTCAGGTAGGGAGGGCTCAGCTTTCCCAGAAGAGACAACCACACAGGGGCTGGGGGCCGACTTGACCTGCCCTATTTAAGAAATGTTTGACTTTGTCACCAATGTTTACAAATTGGGAGATTTCACTTAAAAATGCAGGTTTAATTTAAAAAAAAATCAGGACATAAGGCCACGCTGTGCTCTCACCATTCTGCAGCAGCGAGCAGCTGCGGGCCCCTCTGGGCCAGCCCTGCTCTCTCTCCCCACCACAGTTCCGGCCGTTCCCTCCTGCTCCCCAGCAGGGAGGCTGGTGCATCTGCTGTGTGTTCTGGGCACGAGCTGCTGCTTGTCTCCCACACGCCTGCCTCCCACATTTGCGTTACCTGCAAGGCCTCTGCTGGGACTTGAATCTGTGAGCTTTGGCAGAGAAGTTCCTTTCACTCCCCAGGGAGCTCCGCTCATCCCGGCTCGTGTCAGAACTTGAGAAGTCCGCGTGCTGCTGTCAGCAATCTCAAAATCCGCATGATGCCTTTCAACTGGCTGGGGGTGCTGGGCACCCACCCGTCCGGCCTGGTGGGATTTCTCCCTGAATGCAAACAAACATGACCAAGTGTGTATCATCTGCGTCCCTTCCCCAGCTCCTCCAAACTACTTGTTACACGGCTTGTGGCGTGCAGGGGCGGGGTGGCTGAGGAGTCACAAGCATAATTTGGGGGAATCTTTCAGCATATTGAGTTCGTGTCTCTGCCTGAGACCCCACAGAATGCAACAATGTTGACAACGATTCAAGCCATCTAATTCCCACCAGAAATCCTGTCACTGTCGCATGATGAAGAGCACAGGGTGGCTCAGAGCAGGGTGCTAGAAACTCTCCTTGGGGCCAACCCCGTGGCGCACTTGGGGGAGTGCGGTGCTGGGAGCGCAGCGACGCTACGGCCGCGGGTTCGGATCCTATATAGGGATGGCCGGTGCGGTGCAGACGACACCAAGCCAAGGGTTGCGATCCCCTTACCGGTCACAAAAAGGACAAAAAAAAAAAAAAAAAGAAAAAAAAACTCTCCTTGGATTTGGGTGGTTTGAAGGGAGGGCGTAAGGAAGTGGGGTTCACTCCGGATTGTTTATTGTCAGAAAGTGGGGACAATTCCACGATCGGGTTCTGGGTAAGTCCCACGTACAGGGAGAGGAATCCAGCAGAAGACAAGCAGCCGCGGGTAAAGAAGCGGCAGTCACTCAAAAAGGAAAAAAAAAAAAAAAAAAAAGAAAAAAAAACTCTCCTTGGATTTGGGTGGTTTGAAGGGAGGGCGTAAGGAAGTGGGGTTCACTCCGGATTGTTTATTGTCAGAAAGTGGGGACAATTCCACGATCGGGTTCTGGGTAAGTCCCACGTACAGGGAGAGGAATCCAGCAGAAGACAAGCAGCCGCGGGTAAAGAAGCGGCAGTCACTCCTCTCAGCCGAGGGAAGGGGGTGCTTGGTGTTCTGCAGGTGGCACAGGGACCCTGTTTTGTCTGGGCTGAGATGCGGTTGTGAAGTGGCCTTGTTTTGTCTCACCGCATCGTGGTCTCAGCGTGGCCTTGGCTGAGGCTGTTACCTGTGAGATCGTCACACCTGACAGGAGGACGGCCTGCCCCAGCCATGCGCACAGCCAGCCTCCGGAGGGCGGGGCTGCCTTTTTTTCTTTCTCAGTCCTCTTCATTTTACAGATGGGGAAACTGAGGCACAGAGAGGTTGTGGTGAATTAAAAATGGCTGAAAATTCATTCAGAACTCCTGTTGAGAGGTGGAGTCATATTTCCCTTCCCCTTGA